GCCCAGAGTTCAGGCCCCACGACCGGACCAAAAAAAAATGCACTTAAAGACATAAAGATGGCTCCTATTGGCTCAACGTTTGTTTTCTATATTAATGAATCATCTTTACTAATAATACTCACTGTGATCTTCTCTAATTTTAACATTTTTCTCTGTATTATTCACAAACTTATCAGTATCTGTTGTATCAGAGGAATCAAGTTGGAAAACCTAAAATTTGTAAATTTACATATGTAAATAAGTAAATTTTTACTTTGTGATACTTTTCAATTACAATGATATAGCTGATAAAATTTGCCAGTAATGTAATTACTAACAAGAATAAGACTTTTAAAATGGTTTGCCATTTGTATGACTCTTTGAAGAACCTTCCATTGTTTTATTTACTAAAGCGATTTTATCTTACTGGCTCAGGATGCATTGCTGTGCAGGGTAACCAGGATACCTCAGGCACACTTAATTCACTTTGTGCTCCTTTGGAAGCAAATGTCTTCATCTCATGTTACTGGCCATTGAAAAACACAACAGCATGCTCTGTTTTTAATAACACTTTTTTCTTTTAAAAACTGCTCATAATACTTTTAAATTTACTCATATACTAACAGGTATCCAAAGATACTTTAGTCCTGGTCTTTGAATATGTAATTGTATGTTAGTCAAATGAAAATACTTATTCCATATTAAACTTACTGATAAAGTTTCTGACTTTAGTTCAGGACCACCATCATTTTTTGAGTAGCTTTCACTATTCAAACACACATAACTTCGAATTGCTGCTGTTAATAACCCGTCAGTCCATTCCATAGTGTTAGGATCTAGTTGTCCAAATAGCTCACCAAGAGTAATGCACTTTGGATTTAAAACACAAATATCTACTTTTCCTTTTCTTCCTGGAATCTGAGAAAAATTGGGTGTTACTTATAAGACAGTAACTATGACAGAATTATTTAATTTTTGCACTGTTATTATGAAGGTTTTTAAGAGCCTCTCATTAAAGAAAAATCTTCTGAAAAGGTAGCAATTTAAAAGGAACAGTGAAAACTGACATTGTAAAATTATCCATAATATATAGTCTTTTTTGAACTACTAATTATTCTTAAATAGGTGATAATGGCTATCAAATTGCTATGTTATTCCATTAAAATTTTTACAATTAAATATTTAATGACAGCAGCACTGGAACAATTGGAAAATAAAAAAGACAGGAAAACAGCAGCAAAATACAGAAGTCTTTCATTATCAGTATTATTTTAAATATAGATTACTACTTAAAAGAGAATAACACAGAGGACTAAAAAAATCCAAAACCAAAAATAATATTTGCTGCATATAAGGATACTTATTCCAGACTCCCAAACAAGAATTTAAGTAGTTTGAAAGTGGAACTATATAAATCATTTAAAAAGTTTAAAAGTGAAAACATGATGAAATTATTCCATATACAGTAACTGGGAGAGGGGCTAGTAGCTATACTAATTTTGGAACCCCTAGAGTTTAGGGCTCTGGTATGGGACTGATTTTATATCAGGAAAATGGATTTTAGGTCAAAGATGTTATATATTGATGAAAAAGTATATTTGTCAAGCAAATAAAACAATTATTGTACACATGCACATCCAATAACAAAGACACAGATGGTATGACAGAACTGGAGAAAATGTGTGGTTGTGCATTAGCACTTGGAGTCATCAGTACCCATCTTCAGTAGTAGACAGAACACATAGAAGAAGATCCATAACAAAACTGTGACTCAGAGTTAACACTGTACACAGCACTCCACTCGAGCAGCACATGCTTCCTTTTGAAGTACACATGGAGCATACTGCTGGACAGATCACCTGTTAGGCCACGTTATCTTAACCAACCACAAAGGTATGAAACTAGAAACAGAAGCAAGACTAACAGAAAATGCCAAATATTTAAACAGCCAATGGGTCACTGAATAGATAGCCAGGATATTTAAAAAATACTTTGAGATGAGTGAAAATGAAAACCCAAAATGCCAACATTTTTGAGATGCAATGAAAGTACTAAGAACCAAAATAACACTTATTAAACACATTAAAAGAGAAAAATGTCAAGTCAACTCAAAGTCCTACCCAAGTAATTGGGCAAGAAAAGAAATAAAAGGCAAACACAGTGGACAGGAAGAAACAAAACCATCTCTATTTGCATATAATGTGATGCTATATATTTTGAACATCCACAAGAATTCATAAAGCAACTATCAGTGCTAATCAACAAAATTTTAAGGTGTAAAATGAACCCCAAGAGTCAGTTGTGTTTCTGAACAGCAACAGAAAGCAATCAAAAAAGGAAATTTTAAGAACAACTTCTTTTACTACAATATCCAAAGAATAAAATGCTGAAAAATAAATTTACTAATAGGAGAACTTCAAAAATATTGCTAAAAGAAAGACCTAAGAATAGGAATACATCCTTTATTCATTGATTGAGACACTACTGTTAAGATGGTGATGTGTCCTAGAGTGATGTACAGATTCAAGGCTGCTGTGGTTTGGATACGGGTTGGGGTGCGTCCCTCAAGCACTGCTGAGCTGGAAGCCTGGCCCCCTGTGCGCAGTGTTGAGTGAGGAGCCCGGAAGGTGTGGGGTCGAAGGCATGGTTATCACCCTCAGAAGGGATTACTTTCAGTCTCATAGAGTGACTCCACTCCTTTTTTTCTGGTTGATACTGGTGTTTGACCTCTGGGCCTTCCGCCTGCTGGCATGCCTCCAGCCTATGACTTGGTTCTTGTCAGAGGGTGTTACAAGCAGGAAAGCCCAGCCCCTGCACCCATTTCTTCCCGTCTCTCACATCGAATCTCAGTCTGTGACTCCACTGGGATGCAGTGGAGTCTTGGGAGAGGGGTCTAGGGAAGAACACTGGGTCACTGAGATTCTGGTCTCCTTTTGTTTCTTGGCTACAATGAAGCAAGCAGGACCTGACCACCACATGCTCCTGTTACGAGGCACTGTGCCTCCACAGGTATTTTGTCCTAGTAATGAACTACAGACTCACACACCATCTCACTACATCTCTATTTCCTCACACAAGCTGCTGCCAAGAGGTCAAGACACCATCGGCTACGTCGTGGTTTTTCAGGAAGGCTCTAACCCTGCTAAACTGTAAGCTGAGTGGGTCTCTTTATAAAGTACTTAGGCTTGGGTATATGGCTATGTCAACAGAAAACAGACTAGGACAAATTCAATCCCTATCCAAGTTCCAATGGCCTTTGTACAGAAATGAGAAGGATTCAAAGGGGCCTTCAATAGTCATAACAACATTCAAAAGGGCAGTGTGGTGGAGAATTCACATTTCCCACTTTCAATATCACTATAAAATCACATGACACTCAAACCCCAGACATTATGGCATCAGGATAGAGATATAGCCATGGCCTAAAAGCCAGAGTCCAGAAATAAACCCAAGCAATGTGGTCTTGACACGGGCAGCAACCCCTTGCAAGAGGGGGAGAACAGACTATAGCAAATGGAACAGGACAGCACACAGCCCGTGCAGAAGAAAGAAGGTGGGTCCCTGCTTCACTGCATGTACAAAAATGAACTAAAAATGTGAGAACTAAAATTGTAAGCCATTACACACAAGAAGTATTTATGACTTTGGATTTAACTATACATTCTTAGATCTGACACCAAAAGCATAAACAATAAAGGAAAAAATAAATAAATTGGATTTAATAAAAATCGATGGCTTCTGTACATCATCATCCAGAATGGGGAAAGATAACTCACAGAACACAAAAATAGGCAAATCTTACATTGAATCATGTTTCATGTCCAGATTATACAAAGAATTCAACTGTGAAACAAAAAGACAATCTTTTTGACAATAATTTTGGGATTAAAAGATTACATAAATTTCACAGCATTTCAGGATAATGATACTTAGTTAAAGTTATAAACACATTTTAACCTTCACAAGGCAAATGGTCATTGTGTTGGTCTATAAAGTTTGTGAATTCTACAAGCAAAAAGATAATCTTTAAAAACAGGATAAAATTGGACATTTCCAAAGAAGATAAACAAATGGCCAATGCATACATGGGAGGGGGGTGGATGTCCATCCTTCATTAAGAAAACGTAAATCAACTTCATCATGAGATACTCATATCTGCTTGAACGGGGAAAGAAAAAATGTTAAGAAAGATGTGGAGAAAGAGAAAGTCTCCTCTATTGTTAATGACAAGTTGAAACAGTGTAAGTACCGTGGAGAACGTTTACTATGGCTCCTCAACCATGAACTATAGATTTACCATATGACCCAGTACATACCCAAGAGCAATGAAAACATGTATCCCCCTCCCCGCCCCTGCCAAGTTCATATACGAATGTTTGTCATAGTAATATTTGGTGTATCTAAGAGGTAGAAACAACCTAAGTATCTATCTACTGCGTAACAAATAGTGATGAATGGATACACAATTACTATAATTGTTCAGGCCTATAATGAGATGAAATACTGATACATGATACATGCTGCACCTTGGATAAACTCCAACAACACATGCCAGACAAAAGGGCCTTCTAAGTAAAATATCCAGAGTAGGAAATCCATAGAAACAGAAAGGCAATTGGTAGTTGTCAGAGAGCAGGGAGGGTACAGAAAGCGATTCCTTATTGGAAGAGGAGCTGGTTGTCACCATGAGGTGGTAAGAAGGCTTTGAAATGGCAGAGGGGTGAAGACTGTACAGCACTGGGCCTCAGGAAACGCCATGTACTCTATGCTCTTCGAAGCAGTTGCTTGTGAGCCAGGAGTGGTGCTTATGTATAATCCCGACCACTCAGGAGGTAGAGGTAAGAAGTCTATGAGTTCGAGGCCAGCTCAGGCAAAAGTACCGAGAGCCTATTCCAAAAGTAAAAAACAAAAGGGATAAGGGCGTGGCTCAGGTAGCGAGGCCCTGAGTTCAATCCCAAGACACTTAACAATTCATGCACAAATGTTTATAACAGCAATGTTGTATGAATTTCTCTTTTTTGTGCATGCTGGTACTGGGGTTGCATTTAGGGCTTCACACTCTTAGCCTTCTTCCTCAAGGCTGGTGCTCTATCACTTGAGCCACGCCACCACTTCTGGTTTTCTCCTGGTTAACTGGAAATAAGAATCTCTTGGATTTGGCTGTTCAGACTGGCTTGGAATTAGATCCTCAGATCTCCATCTTCAGAGTAATTAAGATTCTAGGTTTAAGTCATTAGGGACCAGCGTGTGTGTGTGTGTGTGTGTACATGTGGCTGTGAGCATGTGTACAGGTGTGAGCATGTGTGTGAGTGTGTGTGTGAGAGTTGAGTGTGTGTGAATTTGATCTGGCAGAGTTACACTGTGATCCAGAAGCACACATACATACCTAAGAACACACAATAAAAGCACTAAAGAGCATTTCAATGATAAAGAGAAATGAGACCAGATAATAAAAACAAAAAGACAGATTAAACTAAAATACAAATATCTTGACCAGACTAATGAGAAGTTGTGAACTAAAGAGGATGAACCAAACAACAATAATCCCTGAGATTCTGCCTGCATCCTAAATATGCTCCTTATGAAATACACACATATCCAGGTGTATACACACACATGTACACATGTGTATATACACATGCACACACACATAAAACTAAAAATGAGAAATAATAGTCAATGAAAACACAGTGAAAAAGAAAATGTTAACTGAAGTATAAAATACAATACAAACAAATCGAGAAATATTTTAATAGAATACTTACCTTTGAAGTAGATCGCCTCTCTGTGATTGATAAGGTGTCTATAATTGGTAACAATATTAATACTTTTTCTAAAATTTTTCTGGCTGCTGTCTTTCCTCCACCTGTTGGACCCACTAACATCACACCCACGCAAGCCTAAAAGAAATGTGTACATTTATTCATTCATAAATCATCTTAACAATTTATGTACAAATATACCTCTTTTTATATCCTTGATCTTCCTTCCAATCATTGTTCCATTACTGTACTCTGGCTTCTGCTGTTACTGAATAGGCTAACGTTTAAATCATATAAAGACTCCTAATTTCGAGATTCAAGGCTGACTTACAGTCTTGAGCTGTTTCTATCCTACTTTCCGTTTCTTTCTAGCTGCAGCTGTGTAACATTGTTTGTCAGGACTCTGCAGTCTCCTCTCCCTGGGCTCCGATTCTCCTCTGCCTGAGGTGCTCCTGCAGCACTGTGCCTTTTGGTCATATCCACAGGGCCTTGAACTCCAGCAGACCCTAAGAGTTCCCCAGGGTACGCACCTATCCCAGGCTTCAGTTCCAAAGGATATACCAGATTTTCAAGACTTAATAGTTCCATCTGGATGTCTCATAGAATTCTTAAACTGTAACATAATCCAACCTACATCTTTTCACACCATCACTACTATTATTTCCCTAATCTAGTGGTCAAATCCCTGTGTACCAATTCTCCAGAGTAAGATATTAATCTTTTGTATCCCCTTGTCTCTTACAAAGCTTTTTCCTGGTCCTGTCTCCTGTCCATTCCAACTCCAATTACCTTGTGTTGCATTGTAGTGAGGGCCTGGGCCCTCCTCACACCTGCATGCTGAGGGTCTGCCCCATGTGGTGGCACCCGGCGTGCTCATGTGTGCTTACCAGGTCCCGGCCCGTCAGCTCTAACCACCCCTGCCCTCCTATATGAGGGTGAGCAATAAGGTGACCACTCATAATCCTACAAGCGGGTTTAGCAGACACTGAATCTGCCAGTACCTTCATCTTGGATTGTTCCAGGCCCTACAATGTTAAGAATCAAACATGTAAGCTGGATACACTTATAATCCCAGCACTCAGCGTCAAGATCTCAAATTGAAGATAAGCAGGACACCCCAGGACAAACCACGGTGGGTCATCAAGGAATGGCAAAAAAAGACCCCAAAAACAAACAACAAAAAACAACCTTGCAGTGAATGTCACCTAAAAGAAAGCTGTTGGTTCAACCAAACTTCTACTTTCCAGGTTTACCACCTAGCTACACCCTCAGTTTTGCTGTGTTTTGTTTTGCCTCAGTTAATTTTTAGATAGGATTTTGAACTCTTATGTCTGGGTTGATGCTGAACCACCACCCTCCCAATCACTACCAGGTAGTTGCAATAACAGGTACAGGCCCTGTGTTCAGCTTTCTTGGGACTTTTGATTCACAGATATTCCTCATCTGTGTCAGTCTGGCTTATCAAGGGCTCAGCAAACTAAACCCGGATTGATCTCACTGTGTAGCTCGGGCCAGCACACACATTCCCTCTGATCAGTGCGCAGACATTTCTCTTGGGCTTTGCCAATAGTCTAGCTATATGCTCTGGCTCTAGGAAAACTTAGGGCTGAATATGCCACCTCTCTGGGAGGTTAAAAAGTGTGAAAATAAATAAATAAAACTATCAACCAAGCAAATGGCCAGACTCCTCGGCCCATGGTGAGATGACTCAGAATCCTCTGTCTGGCTGACCCCTGGGTCTGTGGTGAGATGACTCAGAATCCTCTGTCTGGCTGACCCCTGGGTCTGTGGTGAGATCACTCAGAATCCTCTGTCTGACTAAGCCTCCCCTGCCCATCCTGCCCTGTGGCCCTGTGCACACAAAACTTTTCTCAGCATCGAGTCTGGGGTCTCAGGTACAGTAAAGGACTCCTATGTGTGCTGCATAGCGACAGCTTTGTGTCAGACTTGATTGCGCCATAAGCTTTTGACTAGACTGGACTCCAGCCCACAGGCTCTCTCGCATACTCAGCACCGCACGTCTCTGACCCCTCAGGGGTGAGCAGTGGTGCCATGCTGAGCTAAGGTGATTTCAGATGAGTCCCTGCTCCAGGCTAGTCAGGGGACACTGGCCGCATCCTTGGCTCTCGAGACTAATTTGTGCATGTACAGTTCCTGCAGCCCAGAGGTGCTTGACAGTGCAGAGCTCTAGGGTAGACATTCCAGACTTTACTCCCTCCACCTTTTCTCTGCTCCAACACCTTACACACAGGCAAAGAACTGCCAACATGTAAGTCTATCCATACCTGTAGTTGAAAATAAAACTGTATGATCTTCTCTTTCTGAGGTGGCCAGTGTTGAAAGCCTAATAGTTTTGTTGAAATGCTTATTGCTTTCTGAAAGGAAATAAGTATGTTAAAGTGCATTGCAAATGAATCCTTTAGTCTTTTTGGAGTAGAAGGGCTATCTGGGAATCATATCCAGCACTATGTACAAGCATGCCAAGCAAGGCCACTGAGCTGCACCTTTAGTTCAAACCCTTTACATTTTAATCCTTCAAAGTCTTGAACTAGGTACCGTTTACTGCACTGTAAGATGGTATTTCTTTGAACTCAGGGCCGTGTGCTTGCTAGATGGATACGATTCTCAGTTTTTTAGTTCACTGACCTCCATCTCTGGAATAATGAAAATTATTACTCTTTATACAAAATTTTATATTCATAGACTTCTGGTAGCAAATTCACAAACCCTCTCAGAACTCTTGCTCCATAATACTTTTAGGAACTAGCTATTGCCAGAGTACCACCATCTCATTTCCCTGGGCCATTAAGGGAGCTTTTTAAATGTTATAATGATTATCTTAATGTTTAGGTGTTAAGAATGTTCTAAGATAGCAAGCAAAACTGGAAAGTTCAAAACCACGACCAAGTTATACGCTGAAACGTCCAAGGGGCGTCCTGCAGCTAGCAAAGGCTTCTTAATTTTCTAGCAAAGGGATAAATGTTAACACATTTATCTACACAAAGCAAGTATCACCCTTTCTTTCCACCGGCCACTCCTAGTCCCTTCTTCACTCCTTGCAACCCTACAATGAAACAGAATGAAACGGCTGCAGGAGTAGAAGAGACACTCAGCAGAGGAGCATCTCTGAGGGCAAGACTAACTGCAGGCAGGCAGTCAGCTGAGAGGGTTTTTAAAAGAAGAGTTCTTAGATGTCCACTAATCACCTGGACGAGGAGTAGTTTTAGACAAGGGAACTGAATTCCGTCTAGTTAGTAATACTAGCCTTGGTGCCTGCCAGGATGTGAGCAATAAGAAACAGAGGCGTCGAGTAAGAATCACGTGTGATGCAGGAAAGATCAGCTCAATCACGACAGTCACAAAAAAGACACGGAGACAAGTCATCCCTCTCAGCTAAGTGTTTTTTTGAACATCCTACTTTGGAAGGTTTTAAAATAAAGCTATGTAGGATGTTCCTTGTAGTCAATTGGATTGTGACCTGTACAAAGTCATCATTATTTGATGTGGTTTCTCTAAGTAGTTTTCAGCTAATCTGTTGGTTGCTCTAGCTAATATGCACACTTCTTGTTGGAGACACATATGTGAACAAGTTGGGCAGAGTACAGTCGCCTCTTGCACAGACTGTGTGCTTAATGAGACAGAGCCTATGTGGCATGTGATGCATAGCTGCTCACTCTACAGTCATCAAAACAGCAGCACTAAAGACTGTATTACTTCAAATTTAATCTTAAAATCATCACAACTTGAGCCAGGTGCCAGCAGCTCATGCTTGTCATCTTAGCTGCCTAGGTGGTTGACATCTGAGGATCATGGTTTGAAGCCAGTTAGGGTAGGAAAGACTGTGAGATTCTTTTTTTTTTTTTGGTCCGGTTGTGGGGCCTGAACTCTGGGCCTGGGC